TTTTTTTTTTTTCATCGTTTTACTTCGTTTGGAGGAAAAAATTATGCCCGATATTACAGAGAGAGAAGAATACATATAATAGACGAGAGACGTTACAGAGGCGAAAAATTACAGACCGGAACGGAGAAACGAAAGTATCCTGATGTTGTAGTATTTTCTTTTTTTTTCTTTTTTCTCTCTTTTCTTTTGCTCTTTTACATGACTCGTATGTTCGTATTTTCCTTCCTTCTTCTTACAAAAAAAAAAAAAAAACGGTCGTCCGTTCGAACGAGCGGAACAGGAACAAGGGCGGGAGTTTCTTTCGCGTTTTTTATTCTTTTTTTTTTTTTTAGCATTTTTTCTTTGTTTTCTTTTTTTGTTTCATATTTTTTTTTTGTTTTTTTTTTTCGTTTTTTCGTTTGTTGGTTTTTCGTTTGACTCATTCGTCTGGGCTTCGCGAGGTCCAGGAATAAGGGCTCAGGGAAACGGGACTCTCTTCTTGTTTCGCGTGTCGATGCACAAATTGGAGTTTTGTATTAGCGCTAGTTTACAAATAATACAAATGTATGTAAATATTCGTTATTATAATAATAGGTTCCCTCTTAGCGAGAAAGAAGCTTAAAGCTAATTCATCTAGCGTCACTATCGTTTTCACACCATGCTAATACTACGTATTCCAGCTGGTACCCGTGAAACAGCCCTGCTTCGTAGTTGGCCGAACATGTTCGATCGACCACAAGACAGAACGTCGGCATTAGAAGGGTAGAAATAGAAATAGATTACTGTCGAAGGAAAATCTGTTCGCGGATAGACGATCAACGTAGGACCAACGTCCTTTCTTCCTTTCTTTTTTTTTCTTTTCTTGTCCTGATATTCTTTATTTCGTCCATCATCGCTCAGAACTGTATTCTAGAATCGAGTTGAGCGGCATTTCAGAACTTGACAAAATAAACTTCAAAGAAGCAGTAAAGCAGACGAAAATAGGGTGGAGCTGATAATTCCAATGTCATTGGAAATAAGATTTCTATCCCTAATTTCTAAAGAAATTAAAAATAAAGACTAGACCTTTAGAGATCAAGGAGTAGAAAGTAGAACGATTGTGAGAAGATAAGGAGGACCGAGTTGTCAAAGTCCGCGAGTTGAATACGTTGCTCTCCATTCAACGCAATGTATTGTCAATCATTTTCGTTCTCGAACTGGATGACGAGGCTCAGCTGTCACAGGCACCGAATGAAATACAT